GTTGCAACTAGTTAAGGGTTGGTCTGCGACAAGTGTTGTCGGTAACACCCCAAACTTTCGGAACGCTTGACGGCTTTTGGGGGCGACGACTTCGAAATATCAAGCCCTATTAATGTCCCATCATTCAAAACCTATTCGGCACAGAAGCAATGAGTACTTGTAGAACCTTGTAGAAATGCCCAGGTTTCAAGAAGAACGAGAAAAGGATAAAGGATAAAGTTTTTGGCGTTAATCAATCCCGTCTGAGGGATGCGCCCCCGCACTCGACTTCCATTCAGAATCGTAGTGGCGTAATGAGTGCGTATGTGGCCTCTACAATGACTTGCGGTGGCCAGCCGGTGTACAAGTCAGTGCTTTTACCCTCCCAGACGAGTCTGGTACCAATTTACCGACCACGGAGGGATGGAAGGCTTATTCGGCCTAGGCGGGCATCGATCCGAAGAACGATAGTGAAGGTTAATTCGAAATTGAAACATTCTCGGAATCAGCATTGTGAACAGAATGCGTCATTTATTGTTAGTTGTAACACCGGTTGATGTGGTGGTCTTTACCGATGTCCATCACGCCGACAGTGGTCAGTAAACGTTAGCGCCGTCAGTGTGCTTATGCGAAGTATGAACGCTTTAGCTCCCATGTTCATGAAAGTTCTACTATGTGGGTATGCCTCAATCCGGGAGTGGCCTCCTCCTCAGATGAATCGTTTCCATTCGAAATTCTGTTACGCAGTGGAAAATCTGAGTTATATTCGTTCCTATTCTTTTTTCTTGTGTGTTGGCTGGAAAGCAATGGTACCTAAGTTTACATTTGTGAAGACTGCTTTTTGGTGGCAGAATCAGAGGGAATTTTTGGAATGATTCGATACATTTATGACATTCATAGCTCCGCTTTTTCTTTTCATCTGCAGCTCCATAATCGGCCATGCAACGGGATTTATACCTAGCTCACTTGAATTTATGTTCTGCCTAGGCTGAAATAGGGAACAGCTGCGACTCGTGCATTCAATGCACCAGAAACATGCATGAGTATACCCTCTTGGAGAATGAAAGTGTAAATCGATTCATTATAATAGGGAAAGGGACTCATCCTCAAATCCCTTGCATTTAATAGAAAACACAAAAGTTTCTGGACCACTTTCTGGACTCAGCTGACAATTGGCGTAACAGTTGAGAATGTATTAGTTACGAATTTTCTGTCCGCTTCGCATTTTCTTATGATTTGCACCAAATGCCGAAATTCGCAAGGGCCTCGTCTTCGTCTTGAATTAGCAGACCTTTCAGTTTAGTATAAGTTCCGCGTCAATCTGGCCGTACAGAATGTATATGCACGGGACATCGACCTGTAATGTGCAAAATCGCTAAACCATGCTTCTGTTTGTATGGATTGAACGGTTCGTAATTGTGGCAGAAGTCCAAAAGTTTTGCAGAAGTAATATTAAATGCTTTTGGGGAGTTCACTTTTGAAGATCTAAGCTACCTGACTAATCCCTCAATTTAGAAACAACGGATGTCAGAATTGTCGGCAGCAAGCATCGCTGAGGTACCGGATAATTATATGGTATATCGCAGCATCGGCCGGATGTTTTTATTAAGTTCAAAAGAAAGCGAAATTGCTCGTCATAATCAGGAAGCTCTTGAATATAAGTAAGTGGTTCATTCGTTTTCAAGAAATATTGATTTTCGCTGTGCTTATTGGGTTGAATTGATTTCAAAAAACTTTATAACTTTTATGCTTGAGCTTGCATGAAAATAAGCACTGCCCCCCTTCTCAAGTTAAGTTTAGTGTTTTTTCGAGCATAAAGCTGGACTATCTTCTTAATGCCCTGATTTTTCAACGCGATTTCGGCTGTAACCCTAGGTAAGGTGTTTTTTGAGACTAAGTTCGAGCTTTCATTGGGAATGAGTGCACCGCAGCTTTATATTTAGGTACTTTGACGGCAAAAACCATTCATTTTGTCATATTGACCTCGTTGTATACAACATTGATGTCAAGGTTATGATTAATGTCCGGATTCCGGAACCACTTGATTATTCTTATTATTTTTAATTTTACTTTGCATTAGTTATATAATGTGGCGGTGCACCTATGGCGAAGTTGTTGTTCATTCAAGTCAGGCATAAATCTAGTTAAAACTAAACGACACGAGTGAAAATTGCGGGTGTGTTGCGATTCGTGCGATTCTGGGTGCGCGCGGCAAATTGCGCGGCGAAATTCGGTGCGATTTGGACGACTGCAACGTTTATCATTGGGGCCCAAATTTCAAGCAAAGTAGGTTAGACGGATTGTCCGGTCCTACTTAAGTACTCTACTCAAAGTTTGTGCCCCAATGATGGGCGCAGGAATTGTTTGTATCATCGCGAATTTCGCCGCGCAATGTGCCGCGCGCACCCAGAATCGCACGAATCGCGCGTCCCCCGAGAATTGCCGCAGAGCTCTTTTATGTTCATGCAATTTTTTTGAGCTGGCTGTTCCAATTTCTAGTTTTGAGTTACGAGAATTACCAGTAAAGCTGTAGAAGCTTGCATTGTCACCGTGTCACTGTCAAAGAGTTCGCAGTGGTTGGAAAAGCCTGCAACTTCTAAACACATGCGATGTTACGTTCATTTTACTGAAAGTTGCTAAGTTCTACCTCTAAGCTTTTTTTTTGGATTCTTTGCGAATGCAATTGCAGGCAGAAGATAGATGGTTTCACAAAACAAAAAGAATACCTGCAGCGAGGACTGGAAGAAGCAGAACGCAATCTCCGCGAAATGATCCAGGCTCGACGGGCATGATTGTCAAATTCTTATGTTTTTATATTCACGACATTGAATAAATCAAAACACTCTGGGGTTTTTTACTTCTTTGATTGAATTTTACCATGCGATTTCTTCTCGTATCTCATTCTTGTTGGCAATTCGATCATTCACATCTACATTCTTCCTCTCAAGGCGACCTTGCTGTGATGTGCCTGACTTTAGAGCGAAATTTTTCGTCATCATGAGAAATGTAGCGTTATGATTAATAATTATCCTCATATTACCTTGTCATCTTGCATCATTTCTATTTTCTTTTTATTTCTTTCGAAAAGCGGACTTGTCTGTTTTGTTTTGCCTGTTGAGTGTGACATCCAGCAAGTTTGTCTTTTGGAGCTCAACGCTTTTCAAATATCAAAATGTGACTTATTCAGCTCAACTGAACAATGTCTTGTCCTTAACGACATTTGTCTACGAAAGGCTTTTTAGCGGATAAAGTATGGAAACCTCCCGTAAAAACACCTTAACTGTGGAGAAGTTGAAGTTGTAGATGTGAGTGCATCCTTATGACTTTCTTCCTTTCCCTTTCGATGGTGGTTATAGAAGGAAGGATCGATGGTGGAGCTGGAAATGAAAAAAGGAATATGCTGACGAAAAGTTGAGCAGGATAAGATACATCTTGATGCATGACGAGTGCTTATGAGATTCTGGATAGGGCAGCTGATGGAAGTGCTAAGATTAATCACTATGGTTCTACTGTCTGAATCTGCGTCGAACATTGCTTATCTTGACTTTGTGGTTATGACATCAACTTGTTTGTTAATATGAGTCAACATGCCTTCATATCAGTTGCTGCTACCTGAGGTACTCATCAAAATTCAAAAAGGAACTCAAATACGCCAATATCTTATTTACACATGCAACTGCGATACCGCATGCTGCTTTCGCTTAGATCTTAGTCGAAAACATCTTAGTCTTACCTGTGTGGTGAACTGTACTGATTATATCTGCACTTCGCTTTCACTTCTTCGCATGTCTTTAATAGTTGGTTGTTTGCTCTGAAAATTGTTATATACTGCTTTTTGAATGCTTAATTGCTTTAGTAATTCATCTTTGCTGATGTTAAGACATTGATTTGTGCGAGTCGGTGAGGTTCCGAGCTCTGTTTATTTGATAATTACCGTAACCGACGAATTTCGGTGACGTTTCTAATAGCTTTCGGAGTCTCAGCATGTTTTTACTACATTTTTATTTAGGAATAGTACTCATTTCCGGTCCATAACATTCCCTAAGGACTTGTCTCTTAGAACCAGTAGCGTTGCCACGCAAAACTTTCCATTCAGACTGTAATTAACTGCCAAAGATTGGGTTCAGACTACTAATACTCGGAACAAGGAGCTTCTGAATATGCTCTTTCGTGGATTTGAAGGTCTTACGACCATTGGTAAAGAGAATCTTTTCTCAGCTGTCTCTTCTAGCAGCTTTACCTTGTAAATGTATCATTTGATGATCCTCTCAGAGTTCCTTTCCTTTTATACTAGTGCCTCACTAATCGACCACCGTCGACCTGAACGCTAAAACCTTCTTTCTGATATCCTTTATAATGGCTTTCTTCTTTCATGGCTTCTACACCCACCTACATCTTGCCTCTATCTCTGTTCCACACACGTTTCTAATGGCTAATTTAAAGTCAGGACAAAAGTACGGTCTGGCCAGTGCAGCCGCTAATCCTGTAATAGCGTATTTTTGCTTTTGGAAAAGAAATGATAAAAATCTAGCTCATTTTAATGTACGGGGGCAATGCCAATGAATTGATTGACCGACATGAAACAGAAAAAAGGAATGACCGAAAACGCCTTTCTTCTCAAGAATGTCTGCAGGAGTTTAATGCGTGGTGTATTCAGAAATACGATCGATTCGCGCGGAAATGTCCATTCAACCGAAAAGCACAGTTCACGATAATTTTGAAGTTCTCTTTTCAGGTCGAAAAGCGGAAGGTCGGGAATAGTGCGCTAGTGATGAAGGAAGCCGCCGATTTTGTGAAAAATAAGGCCCTTGGAAAACAGTTGAACTACAGGTTGTACGAGATAACCATGACGGAAATGTCATGGAAGGGATATTTGGACGAGATTTCAGTGGTTACAAATACGTAAAGAACTGTCCACATCAAGCCAGAACTGGCCAGAATTGTCTTTCTCTGTCGGTATGAGTGTCATGGCAAGTTGTGTGAACTTTCCACAAGGGCTTCGTTGTGAATGGTGCAGTGGCGTTAAAACTCGTCCACACGTACACACATGGCAATATTTGTGCCTCTATAATGCTCCAGTCAAGCAGTTTTCAGACCTGATAGCGCCAGACATGGTATACGAGGGAGTCTCGAGTTCATCTTAGGAATCTCAGAAACCATTTTTATCGTGAACTGTGCCTTTAGGCTGTAGCGTACGTACAAAATGGTTCGACTCGACACTCCACAGCACAGTCGATCTTGCCAACGGCGACCTGAAAGAACATCGTTTGACATACCCTATAAGGTCACCCTCGATTTTTGCGGTTCTGGAGAAAGCATCCGGAATGGAATTTTTGACAGTCAGGTTTAGAAATGCCTTTGCTACACATGCTTACCTTTACAAGTATCTTCAAACACGAAATTTCCTCTCTTCCATGAATAATTGTTAACTTTCTCAGGGTGACCTTATAATTAAGAAACGGTGCAAAA